TTCCGCCAAGTTCAAAGTTTTTGTCAAATGCAATTCAGCAGCTCCGCCCGGGGGCTAGGTCCAGTGTCCTGTGTCCTTTCACATTTCATTGTAAAACCGAAACAAACAAAAGAATTTTTGAATCAGAAGCAATAAATTTGATGACATTTATTGGTTTTTGGCTGGGTGTCATGACCCGGCGACAGGGACGGGGCATTCCTTGCATCACTGATAGTGGGGGATGACTGTTTGTTATGTCCATCTGTGTCTCGTCTCTCCGTTCGGGTTTCAGGCTCGTGCGGGTGTCATTTTCGGACTTAGTGCCACCAGTCGAAGAGCCACTTGAAACTTTGGGCTTCCGTTGGGTCGAGCCTGATCATTAGCCCAAAGCAAAAGGCGGCAGCGGCGGCGCGTGCCAGCGTTCAACCCTCCTCTGGCCGCCGACTGGCAACCGCCCACCCCTGCAAATGACCATAGAAGTGCAGGGACGGTGCGAACATAAAGCCAAATAGTTCCGTTCGACAGTTGCAGTTGCAGACTGAAAACTCTCGGAATAATAACAATAACAATAAACCGAAAAATGCTGAACAATGCGTGGAGAGACCTTGCGACCTCTGCGGCCGCCCATGGAAAGCAATCGGCAAGGGGGTGGGGGAGGGTTGCGACAACTGGACAAAGGTCAGCAGTTTAAATTGTGTCAATTTCTGACATCTCTCTCGCTGCCAGCGCCCAGCATCCGGTTGCACATTCAAAAATTGAAATATTACACACATTTCACTTTCAAATAACAGTTATTGCCAAAGTCCCGGGACAATAAACCAACATTGACAGATGAACTCTGGAATATGCCTAGGATATGGGCCATCGGGCAGCGCTCAGCTATTTCCATTTCTCCTCTTTCCCAAGCATTGGCTAATGTGCCAGCTATGAGTGGGTTTTGTCACATCCGAACTTAAACTCGACTCTAATGACATCAGATCGACGCTCAGGCAAATCAATTGCACCCCACGCACAGTTGAGGCCAAATGGAAATCACATTTTTCATTACTCAGAAAAAGTCGACAAAATTGAGTCTTTACCCTAAGCACATAAACATTACTCGCATTATGGTAAATAATAGGAGTAAATATTGTTAATAACAGAGGGAGATAGATAGATAGAGAGATAGAGAGAGAGAGTAAAAAAAAGAGAGACAGAGATAGATAGAGAGAGTGAGAAAAACAGAGAGAGGAAATGATGCAGATAGGGAGTGAGAGAGAAATAGATAGACCGATAGATAGAGAGAGATACCGATGGATAGAGAGAGAGAGAGAGAGAGAGAGAGAGAGAGAGAGAGAGAAAAAATAGATCGAGAATTATATAGACACATAGTTAGATAGATGGATAGATAGATATATAGGTAGACAGAGAGAGAGAGAGAGGGAGAGAGAGAGAGAAAAAAAGAGAGAGAGAGAGTAAGAGAGAATTTGGTTAAAGATCAACTGGGAAATAAAAACATATTATAATTTTTTTTTCAATTGCGATTTATATTCTAAGAGCTTCGGTGAAAGATATGTATCATAAATAATTATTAATCATTTTAGATTTAAATTTACATAAATAAATTAAATATATAAAGAAAATAATATAAGAATAGAAGCTGAATAAGTGTAAATAAATAATACCGGAATAATAGCCAACTGATTAGTTAAGACATTAATCAACATGTGCTGTAGAGTAGTCTTGGGCACTAAAAATTAAAAATACATTAAATAAATAAATTTGGACATATTCACAATAGTCAAAATGGCAAAGATCAATAAGTTCTACAATTAATTTTACGTTAATATCAATTAAAATTCCAAACAAATTTTGGAAAATGTGTAGAGAAAGTTCATTAAAAATAGTTAAGATCGAGGTAAGTTCATATATAGTATATACTGATCAGTTTCAGTTTGAAAGATCATAAAAATTAATTAAATTTGAAATTGTATTTAAAGTAACTGGAAAGAAAGAAACTTTCCGTATTACATCTAAATCAATTAGAATTAATTTGGATATATGTATATGCGAGGGACTCTCTAAAAATAGACAATTCAACAATGTACACAAAATTTGAAAAGACTGTTTCGACTTCTTTATGCAAGATTTGGAAGAAAAAGAAGTTTATGGAAGGACGAATTTGGTTTCCTAGAATTTGTCTATCAGTTAGTTTATTGCTTATAAGCAATCATAGTCTTAATCAAGGTGGGAGACTTTCTACCAGCACGAGTTCCATCAGACGGAGTTAGGCCAATGATATTTCAAATATTCTTTATTGCTGACTTTGTCCAGGTAATGCGAAAGTCGTCTTCTGAACTCTTAAAACCTATCGGAATTGGTATATTATTTAATTCCGTTAGTTAACAAATTTATTAAAAGCGATCACGTTTATTGTACGTTCAAATTAAGCTTCGTTGAGGTCCATCAACTATCACCGTATAAATGTCAGACCGAGTGGTTGTGGGGCGACCCTCACATATCTCCAACTTTATGTTGCACATTTCTAATCTTAATACGAATTTGAAAGCCAAAGATGAGCCTCTTCGCCCACACGTCCATTACGATTTATTAAGCTGATTAAATTGTATGGCAATTCATATTTTAGCCAATTAGGGGAAACGATCTCAATGGAGCATCGAACAGACGGCACTAATTGGCAGGCATTTAACACTTTCCCCAACCCGACAGCTCCAAATGAAAATGGAAGGCTGGCACTCTCGTGCCTAATCGTTTGGCTGCCATATGCTGTCTGCTGCTGCTGCTGCTGCTGCTGCTGCTGCTGTTGCCACTGGGCCATGGAGATCATCAGCAGAGAGCATTTAGAGACTGCTGCTGTGATGAAAGGGGGAGTACGTATATCTGGAGAGTGCAGGCATGGTAAGGGCAGTGTGATTCGCCCCCACGCGCCAAACCGTTGCCGATGATTAATCGCTTTGGAAATGTTTCTCTTTTCATAAACAATTTTTTAATAGGCCCGAGCATGTCTCTCAGCTTAACACACGATGTGCATTCGATTCCGGATTCTGGGGTCAAAACGTTTGTGGGCGGGGTTAAAGAGTTCAATTTGTTTCGTGTAGAGTGCAGAGTGTATCTCCTCTCTCGAGATGATGATGACGATGACTCGCTAGCCAGCTAGCTGTAAAAGATGTTGCCATGTTTGGAATTTAAAAAGAGTTGATAAATCAAAATGTTTTGGGCAAGTCGAAGAGGAGAAACAACAACAGCCCCTCGCCCCCTCGCCATAGCAATTGATGAGGCACGCATAGCTTGTGGGCAAACTCATAGCATAGGCATAGGTAGGTGTTAATTGTCAGCTATTTGAATGGGCTTTCTTCAATTTTCCCAGCTGCTCTATCTGCATGAAAGAGACTCAAAACACTAGAGAGAGAGAGAGGAAGTGGGGGAGATAGACCCGCGGAGAAAGTAAATCAGATCTGAACGTAAATAGAACAAAAAAATATGTATAAATTTAGCAGACAAAGAAAACAGAGAGGGCGAGTTTTTAGCTTCTTCCGTGACACTGAAGTGGCACGTGGCATGAAAATGAAATTTATGAAATTCTCTTCGTGTTGCCTCCAATAATTGAATATAAAAAATGCCCGCAACAGGTGAACAAAACAATTTTACGACTCGGAGACCGACTTTAAAGTGTTTTTCAGCTTTTAAGATATATCCATATGAATTTACTAATTATATCTCTGGCATTTTATGGCATTTAAATAGCTGACTGAAAAGCAGGGAGAAAATCCAGTAAAGCATTATCGGCTCGACAGTAAATCATTGTCTAAGTAGAGCTGTTTCAATATTGTCGGGCATAAAAAACGAGCCAACTACCTGGCAGCACAGGTAGAGCAAGGTGCGACCTCAGTCAGGCCCAATGCTCAAGGACAACAACACGGCACTCACATTGTCCTCCAAGCAAACGTGATTAGCCTTATGAATATGAAGCAATTATATATTTATGAAGATCATAACGAAACAATTTGATTTATGAGGTCATTTCGTAGTTCTTTGTTGCCTCGAACTAGACTAGTCTCAATGCTAGGCCATTGTCTCAGCCACTCCAAAGTGTGGCCGCTGACAAAGACTGGTTTTTGCAGACAGCTGTGCTCTACACAGGTGTATAAGGTGTGCGAGACTCTGGCGGAATGATTATTTTGGAATTGCTTATGAGTAATCCAAGCCTCGTTTCATTGACATTAGATATATATATATATTAGATATTAACTTTCATTCAATTGAAGATATTGTTCTTCTTGAGCATAGACCAGTTGGTATGGATCTGTTAAACTCTGTTATTCATTTAATAAATAATCATATTTTGAAATGATAGTTATATTTGTTTTCGTATTCTTCTCTTGAGATTTGCTCATATATCAAAACCTTATAATTCAATTGCAAGCCTTTGTACAAAATATATTGGAATATATTTTTAATGCTGTTCAGTTTCATGTACGCTCAATATGGCTGCAAGGAAGAGCATCATTTCACCTCACATACAGCTTCATCATCTATCACTAACTCTTGAAACTCGAAACTCCTAACTCCTCACTAATCTAAATTATAAATCAAGCACTTCAATTTATTTTTGGAAATTATTTAACAGTGTTTAATTCGTATTTACTAAATTTAATTTCAGTCCAAAAACTTCAAGTCATACGCTACAATTTTCTGTACTAAAATGCAAAACTCTGATTTAAGGTTCAAGATGGACATCCTACTATGTATTATATCTACCCCATTCTATTCTAAACATAAAATCAATCTCTATGCTAAAATCCGTGACTGAAACATAATAAATATAGAGCAAAGACATATACATATATTCTCATAAGTTAACGAAATATTTATATCATATTTAAATAAATATATTGAGCAGGCGGGGCTTATAGTGTCACTGAGCTTGAATTTCTGATGGGGTGCCGGTTGTGTGAGTTAGGAATATTCATTCGACCTCAAACATTTTAGTAGTAAACATCTGGGAAAAATAAAAAATAATAAAACAAAAAAGATTTTTATACATCTAAAAATTAATTTGGAAATTTTTATTTTGGCAAAATAATTATTTGAAATGGATTACGGAAACAGTGGTGCAGAGTTTAACTGGAGCTACGTGGGTGGCCAGGGCGGCAACGGCGGCCAAAGCATGACGTACCCTCAGGTAATTGCGTAGAGCAGCGGCAGGCATTAGTTATTGGAGTCGACTTGTATTGAAACCGATTTTTGCAGATGGGTCAGATGGGTCAGGGCAGCTATGGCTCTGGCGGTGGACAGCAGTGGCTACACTCAAACCAGGGCTACCAAAACTCAGTGCCCAACTCCACTCCACCGGCTCCGTTCGAGGCGTACAATCAGTCAATGATGCGCTACACGAATGTCCACAAAGCAGGCGGAGGCATGGGTCATATGGGCATGGGTGGAATGGGCGGCAGTTACGGCGGATATGGCTCCGGAATGAATCGCAATGGTAAGGCGCTATGACTCCTGCTCCTCCTCTGCTCAACTGCTAATCGTAATCTCTGTATTATGTGTGACTAGGTCTGGGCCATGCCGGTGGTGGCATGGGTCAAAATGCCAACAGCGGCTACTCCAGCTGGTAACGGATTGTTAGTGATGGATCTCTGCATTCGCGTATATTTGCCCAATTATTTTGAAATTTTTCCCTGACTAGTTCTTCGCCACTCAAATGTTAAACCAATTAAAAAATCTCCTGAAGTAAACCGATTATAAAATATTTAATAAAAACGTTTTATTACGTCGATTCAATCGTTGGGCTTCGTCTCGGACAATGCCATTGCCGTCGCCTTTTCGACCATTTACGTGCGTATTCCCGGATCACAATCGATATTTAAATCTGATCTAGCAACTGCTGGGGTCAGCGACGTCTATTAACCTACGATTTGACGTGTGTTGTGACCTCTGTCAGCGCCTGGGATCGCTCTGCAACAAGGAGGGGTGGGCAGGCAGGCAGAGAGAGAGAGAGAGAGAGAGAGAGAGAGAGAGCAAGTCGGGCAATCCGTCCGGGTTTGCAGTGGCATAAATTACACAGCCGTGTGTGTGTGTGCTTAGTCTATGTATGTATAAATTATGAAGCCTACTATTAGTTAGCATGTCATTTGGCAGCGCTGCTATAAATTACAGCAGAGCAACAACTGCGCGAGTGCCACTTCCCGTGGCAAATGCAACGAGGATGGAATTATGGCACGGCATGAGCTGGCATGGGTTGCTCGGTGTGTGTTATGTGCACTAGACACGTGTATGCTGCATCGCTCCGCATCCACTTATGTTTTTACAATACTCTACTCGCCCTTGAGTTGAAGAGAGTATATTGGTTTTCAGATGTCAGAGTATATAAGACTAGAGATTGGGAGAGATCGAGTTTGGGGTTAGAGATTAGAGATAACTGAAATATGTATATGTAGACTTATGGGTCTCCTTTTCTGGTAAGAAAGAGAGAGAGAGAGAGAGAAAGATAGGGGCTAGAGATTAGAGAGAATTGAATCTCCTCTTATATATAAATACTACATACAAATTGGAAAATCCTATATTGTGTAGCTTACAACTGGAATAGATCGGTGAGAGCTACCTAATAGGTCTACACTTATTGATCTTTCGAAATGACCGAACAATCTCATTTCGTTTAAGATGGGCTTTAAGTTTTATATTTCTTGAAAGTAAGAGATAAAAATAAAAACTATATTCCCTTCATAGGATTATAAAACAAGGCAATTAAATTGTTGATTATAGGACTTTCTCCACATATACATATATATTATATAACAACTGCCAAAAATTTCATCTCTTGCTGTGCCATGAACGAGTATTGCGTGGTCGGTTATTGCCTTCTTTTAACATTCCAAAATATGTTTTTTCTCTGCTTTTTTGGGAGAGTTTTTATTAATAAATTTCCATAGTGAATTTTTTGGGGCTGGCGCGCGCGTGTGTAATGATCTGTCGCTCTGGATCAGGGTTGTGGATTAATGGTAAACCGAACGCATTTTTCATCGAACATACGTCGCATGAATTTGACTGCATTTGACTGCGTTTGCCTGCATTTTGGTTGTTTCATTTTCCTGTTTTATTTTTTATTTCATTTTATTTTTTTTTTTTTTTGGTTTTTTGTTTTTAGCATGGAAATTTATGTCGTCGCCATTTGCCATGCGCCGAGTTTTCAGCTTTCAGTTTTCAGTTCAGTCAACTATCTAAGCGACTGCTCCAATTATGAGAGCATTCCAACTGTGCTCCAAATATTTGGACACCGTTGCCAGCGTTGCTTGTTTCCGCAATACGTGTCTCACACCCCGCACTCTGAATGTTACCTCTGATTCCAGTCACGTTCAATTCTCAGCTAGAGAGCGACACACAGTGAGAAAGAGAGAGAATAGAGCAACTTAACTCGTTAGTCAAATTTGATTAACCTGTTTGTATGACTAATAAATATTAATATTTACATATATTATATATACAAAAATCAATTAAATTTCATGTTGTTCTTTATCATGTTTTTTGGTGCTAATAATGAAGTTGCGTATTATATTATAAACTATCCAGTTTATATAGAATTAATTTATTTAGCTGATTTGCTGCCTGTGATTTTCTAGCTAAATCGCAATCACACCATTATGTCTGACTTATGTATGTGCCTTATAGCTTCTGATCTGGTATTTAAGAAAATATTATTTGCCACACTTATAAGCAATATTCAGCTCTATCATTCATTAACATTATATATAAAAAGCTACTAAATAGCAGCTTTGATGATTTTAGGTTGGTTGCTGAACTCTGTAAATATATTTTATACCCGATATAATAAAATAAAATCTCATGCTAGAAACACTAAATATAACACTCTAATATATGATAGATATAGATAATTTCTATGTTATTATTAGGGTTTCTATTTCTTTATTTTTTTTTTTTTTTTTCAAATAATCTTATCTTATATGCCATATGTCATGTTTGTAAATAAATATCTAAGTAGAAAAGGCCTATGTCTTAGTTTAAACTCTTTAAGAACAGTGCTGTCCTTTCTATTTAGAATACTCGCATATTTATTGGCATAGCTTTCAATGCATGTAGAATATTTTTCATATATATTTTTAGTATATAATTATTATCTTATCCATAATTTTCATATATGCTAGCAATATTAATTATAAAACTCCAATTCCGAATTTTTGTATGAGTTTATTATTATGACGCTGAGCCATAATAGGTGAAGGCTCATCAGACTTTATTTAGTGGATCGTCGGTGATCGAACTGATCTTTAAATATTTTATTTATTTTTTTTATTATTTGAGCTGACTGATTTAGGCTTCTTAAGGCAGTAGAGTCTTGGACATTGAAACAATCTACTTTAAGCCGATTCGATCAATAGTTTTCCGTTTTATTTTATTTTCTGCATTATATATGTATATACAATTCTCAATTTCCGAATTGATAGCGTATTTATGTTCGATTTGAGAGAGCAGCCATTTTTCCACGACATTAAATAGTTTTCGATGTCGTTTGATGGGGAAGGGACTAGCTCGCTGCTTGTGCCGGTCGGTTCGATCGTGCTGCCCTTTCACGTTGTGGTACTTGAAAATTTCTTGGTGTTATTTTAATTTGTGAGTTTTTGTTTCGGTTTACTGTCTGTGTGTGTCTGCGGCTTTATACGCATTTGTTTTCCATGCACTTATTTAATTGTGTTTTTATATTTATTATGTGCTTTTCTCGAGCTGCCTTTAAAGTGCCACATTTACCTTAAAAATGTATTTTTAATTTATTTTTTGTAGCTGCTTTATCGAGCAGCTCATCGGGTTCAGAGGCGGCATCGGCGATAAGCACGCACCATTTTTTTTTTCGGGGTTTTGGCTTTTTTTGAATTTAAATGAAGTTTTTTTTTTTTATACAATATATTATTCGGCTTTAGTTTTAGTTGTCTTCATTGCGTTCGTTTTTAGTGCGATGTAATGAAGTTTGTTTATGGGGCTTGGGGCACATTAACATTTCGTGTAAGTCAGCTATTACTCTACATTGTGCCGCGGGTACATACATACATCTACATATGTATTTACATACATACATATGCAGCACTGAGTGAGTGGGAAAAAAGCTATTGGACACCATTCGACAATTGTCCAGTGTGGTCCCCCGTGTCGGGCATTGCCATAGTTTGTCTCTCTTTTTAAGTGCCGTATGACTGTGTGATTTTCGTCGCTAAAAAACGGCGGTCGGCCATAAAATCAACACTTTGGTTAGCAAAACAAACCGTTTAATGCAAAACAAACAGTCAACAATAACAACAACAACAACAACAGCAGCAACAATAACAACAGCTGCGACTATGGCTACACCTGTAGACACAACTAGCGGGCAATGCATCTGTCTAGTTATAGTGTTGAAATGGGCGTGGCACCCGTATCGGCTATCACTAAATTCACAAAGTGATTGCAAACACAAAAAATATCCGCAATTTGTGCAACATTTTTGCTGAAAACCACAAAAATCAATTGCCAATTTAAGCAAACCACCTGAACGAGAGTGGGTGTGTATTGGTGTGTGTGTGTGTGTGTGTGAAATTAATATGCAACACTTTTTAGTGACTTTTCTATTTGATGGTAATTGAATCATAAAATACTCGATGGGCTGTCAAGCGAATGACTTTTTGTTTTTTAATACCCTGCAAGCATTGAAAGGGATGCTATAGGGTATACTGAAGTATTAAGATCAATGTTACAGGCACAATGTAAATAATACTGGTTTTTGATGACGATCAACAGACGATCGAAATTTGGCAGTTTGCCTATCCATCTGCCTATCTCTCTGTCTATCCCTCTGTCAATACGATAGGATTGATCTCGAAGGATCCTGACCGTAGTACGCTTAGAACAAATTGAAGTGCTCGAAAATATTTCGTCTATAATGGATTCGAAATTATTCTATGTCAAATATCGTGTTGAATCAGCTATTATGATATTTCCTAGACATCAGAATCAACCAAAGTTATTCTAATTGATAAATCGATGATAAAGTGATAAGTTGATCAATCGATATATTTTTAAATTACAAAATAATTACACAATCTGTTCAATTTATAAAATCGATATTTATCGATTGCAATTAACATTCAATGCTTCTAATACAACACAAATCGAAGAAGGAAGAATCCCCTACTTTTGGATGTCTATGCTTATAACTCCTATAATTTATTACCATAGAGATTTGGTCTCAATCTTATATCGACTTCTTGTAGCCATATTCATGCTCTAATTCAATTCAAGGGCAAGCTTAACAATGGTAATCGGCTCGAAATTCGCGGTATTTCCCAGTCGAGCATTGCCTGTAGACGTGTTTCAGTGTTTGGCTTGTGTATTTTTAGCTGCAATGGGAGAGACCGACAATTGAACATTTTTGACACCACTTCACGGCAGCCCATTGACAACTCAATGCGCCTCTCCGCCGATGCATTTATCACCCGGCCATGGAGGGCGGGTCCAGTCTAATCCAGCTGATAACAGCGGGTGGTGGCCCGCGTCGGTGCCAGCGATTAACCCGCGACCGCCAAGCGGAATGGTGTCATTTTAAAGTAGCCATTACCACGCCATTGTCTGGCCCTAATGGCGAGTCCCATGGACTGCCGGTCTGTCGGGCTGTCGGCCCGTTGGTCGCCTGCTCGGTGTCGACCCCCCGCTCCGATCCAATTTCTTAGCGTCTGATTGATATGTCCGGTCGAGG